ATAGCATGATTCAACAAGAGAATTTCAAAAAGTATAGTTATCAACGAAGGAGTGATTATTATACGTGTTTACAGTCAATGCGCTTTCGACGAATACAATGCAATATGTAATGGAATTACGTTTGTACCACTAATACCACCCAATCGGATGATACCTCGATCTGCAATGACCCGTATGTAGGTTACTGCGTCTTTCAAAATCAAGCGGAAATTAAAATTCAAAGCTTTCTGAACTGAAAACATGCGTTTTTCGCTACCGTCAATCAAATGTTCGCCGGCTCCTTCCAACTTTCGACTACTGCCGAGCACTGTTTCGTTGTCTGAACTGTGCTCAACGATTTGATTAGGAGCCGCCGATGTTTGATTGACGATAGCGAAAAACGCATTTGTCGGTTGAAGCTTTGAATTTTAGAGCCCTCATGCATGTTTTTGAAAGGCGCAGTAACCCTTTTTATTGACACGTAGTTTGTGGGGGTTTCATTCAGCGTAGTAGTCAAATTATCGTTCAGGGCTGAGAGAAGGCGTCTAACAAGCGTTTAGCGTCAATTATCTTGGATTTGAATGATTCAAATGTGTTGAAACACGCATCATTAGCCTCGCTGTTTCAACCTTGGGTGATCAAGTCATTATTCACTGAGAATATTGCCAGTGCTTTCTCATCCTATTTTAACCAATTTTACTTACGTTCAGGAAAGATGTGCTGGAAGGTAGTGAAGGGACGTAAGCTGTTTTTGTTTTGTTTTTTTTATTATTGTCAATAAAATCAGCAGTCCCTGGCCTGCTAGAGTGACAATCCGTATTAGCAAATATCAAAACTAAAGTTTTAAAACAGACTTCTTCAGGGTATGGATGTGGTTTAGCGCGGGCCACGGTCTACGGCCGCAGCTGTTCTCCGACTGTCTTCAAAACAAACATCTGCCTACTGTTTGAAACTTAGCCCTTTCTGCATCGCTTTACACTGATTTCCAAACATCACTGGGGGTCGACTCGAAATCTAGCAAGTAGAAAAAATGGCAACTTTGTTAACTAACCTAGTTAGATAAAACTGAAATATATTAAAAATTAAAAAGGATTGACAATTATTGCAAGCTGGTCATGCATGCAGGCACGCCGTATTAATTATTTACAATCATTACAAT